CCCACCTCTCTCACTTTTGCTGACTTCTCTGTTCCAACTTCCTTGGAAAGACACATTTTCAGGGTCACTTGCATGGCTCAGTTGGTTGAGTGTCTGACTTCAGCTCAGGTTATGATCTCATAGTTCGGTTCATGAGTTTGAGATCACATCAGGCTCTCGGCTGTCAGCGCAGAGCCCACTTTGGACGCTCTGTGTCCCTCTCTCTCTCTCTCTGCCCCTTTTCTCTGCCTCTCTCTCTGTCAAAAATAAATAAACATTTAAAAAAATACACATTTTCATTTACATCACTTAGGCTTCTTCTCCTTGGTGATTGTGGGTTTCCTGGGATTTCATGTCATGTTGAGAAAGCAAAGATCAGGCTGACTCCCAGCAAGTATTTCATGCAAATTTATTTATAGTTTATTTTCTGCTGTCAACACATAGAGGGTTTTGTTGATGCAACAGCATTTTAAATTATATACACAGTATATATTTTTGAATATGCTTCCTTTCCTCCCTATGCAACATAATAACATCCTGTAATGAAAAATTAGGACTATTGTCAAAAGATGCCAAAAAAGTAAGTTTTTAGCTCATATCCCAAGTATTTATATCCCTCTTGGTTGTTCCTGTCATCTTACAAGCCCTGCTAGTCAGTTGTGGTAAGCAGAAATAATAACCCCCAGAGATGTCCACATCCTAATGCCTAGAACTTGGGGACATGGTATGGTACATGATAAGGGAGAATTAGGTGTGCATGGAATTAAGGTTTCTAATCAGCTAACTCTGAAATGAGATTATCCTGGGTTATATGAGTGGGCCCAATGTAATCACATATCCTTAAACGTAGAAGAGGGAAGCAGAAGAATCAGTCAGGGAGTGATTTTATAATGTTATGCCACTGGCATAGAAAATGGGGAATGGGGTCATGAGCCAAGGAATGAAAATGGCCTCTAAAAACTGGACAAAAATACATAAACACATAAATAAATAAACAAAACACGCAAACTGGACAAGGCAAGGAAACAAATTCTCCCCTAGAGCCTCACTAAGGAATGCCAGCATTTCAGACTTCTGACCTCCAGAACTGTAGGATAATAAATGTGTGGGTTTTTGAAGCCACTGCATTTGTGGTAATCTGTTAGAGCAGTAATAGGAAACTGATACACCAATATTGCAGTAATATCCAAATACTCTGGTTATCTGGGTACCGGTATGTAACAAAATTCATGTGTCCTTCCCAGCTTCCACCTGGTATTCAACAAAATGAAGCAATAGCTTCACAAAGCTAATGCCTACCTAACATGTAAGGATATGAGGTTATTATCTCATTAGAGGCATTTGTCATTAATCACAAAGATGACTCTAAAACACCCTCTCCCACATTCATCAACTGGACTATGTCAGGATCTAAAGCAAGTGGAAATTCCTCCAAAGACTTCTTCCCCATATCTCTTTATCTCTCGGTTCATTTTTGGCTTTTTTATTTTCTTTCTCTTTCTGTATGACCCTTCACTTTATCTTTCTCTGTCATTTTCTCCTTCCTTCTCTATCACTTCTCATTCTCTTTGTTTCTGTCTCTCTGTTCTTCTGTCACTCCATGTCTCCCAACCCTCTCTCATTTTCTCTTTTTTATTCTCTCTTCTCCATGCCAGAATCAGCTTCCTGATTCTTCCTCTTACACACACACATATAAACTCATATATGCTGAGAAAACATACCCATTGTATCCCCAGTACTGACCTTACCTGCAGTTATGATCCAGAGTTTGGTAAGTAAATGTTCCCTGAGATTCTCTCTTTAGGGTACCTAAATATCAGCTTCCAAGGTCCTAGAAATTTATTGGGCATCAAAAAGAAAAGCTACATGCTCAGACTGTCACTCCCATCTACCAGCCCTGAATCTATGAATTTAGTAGTATAACTAGCCAAGGAGAGAACCTGAGGGGATAGGAAGAAGATGTTATAATTTCCAGTTCAAAACATCCATCAGACTTGCTTAACTGCCCAATTTTTCCCTTGATTCCCATAGGAAAGATGTCCTGTATCAGGGATGTTAGTGCTGGGAAACTTGGAGAATGAGCCCCCAGGGAAAGGCTCTCAAGGCACCTTCAGTCTCCTTTCTGTTACATCCTCTGCTTTAATCACATTTTGACATAAGGTAAACACCAGAGAGGTTCAAAAAAGAGAGAGAGAAATTACTAGATCCAACCAGGTCCAGACAGAAAGCCAAATAACACGATGGCCTCTGAGAATTTAGGTAGAACTATCTCCTACACAAAGAGATCTTGGGCTATGCCTACCAAGTAACCCAAAGAAAATGTCTGTGTGTTTCTTCTTTCTGGTGATTACTATGAAATACAAAGTGGGGAGAGACAGCAATAATCACTTTTTTTGTGTGTGGAGATTTTAGTACTTCCTTGAAAACTTAGGGTTGGTTACATCAAATAGAAATAGTTTTCAAGGAAGAAAGAAAAGAAAGGAAGGAGAGAGGAAGGGAGGGAGGGAGGGAGGAAGGGAGGAAATATAACCCACAAAGGAAATGAACTTGCAAACAGGAAAAAATGTTGACACACACACAACCCAGAAAAATTGACTCGACGTTTAAAAGTTTCAGGTTCTTTGAAACTGACCTTTGAAGATAATAATCATTTATTGTGGCATTAGTGATTCTTGGGAATAAGGTAAATGACACACAAATAGTATTTATACCTTGAGATAATAATCTTTGAGGGTTTATTTTGGCCTTTTTGATATCTGGGTTTAGGACATGGTAGATACAGCAGAGCTTTTATCTGGGCAAGTTTCTTTCTAGCTCTGATGATCTTATATTACTGCTGCATATGGTATGGTACATGATAAGGGAGAATTAGGTGTGCATGGAATTAAGGTTGCTAATCAGCTGACTTTAAAATGAGATTATCCTGGATTATCTGGGTGGGCCCAATGTAATCACTCTGATGATCTTATATTACTGCCACAACTTCGTGTACCCTGGAGCAGAGGGACTCAGGAGAATGTTAACTCAGAATTGTTGAAGACCAACAGCATTCTAGGCAAAATTCAGAGAAAAAAAGTGACCAGAATATTGGCAGTAGCAGCTTAGCAAACTCAAAGTGGACCATAAGATAGATTGGCTATAGGCACTGGACTCCCTGGGAGGGACACAGCAGACACCTGGTGCACTGGAGAGGGAAAATCTATGGTGGGGCAAGTTGGTAGATCCAACAGACAACAGTACTTGGGTACAGGATTTAGGGAGCTCAGGTACTGGAACAGGAAGCTATGTAAGCATCGGTACCAACAAGAGTGATGGCAAGACACAGACAAAGCTATGTGAGGTGGTTTGGGACAAATTGAAATATGGTGAGCAGAATGAAGATACCTTAGATTGATGTCCAATGTGCTATAGACAGAAAGACCTGTGGCAGGTAGCATAGCATAGAAGACAATAGAATAGCTTACACATGGGTGGATGAAAGACAAAAATAACTGAAAAGCAAAGGACAAGTTATTGTACTTCTCTCAGGACATTGTAGAGCTCTTCAGATTTTGGGGACAACACATACCATACCTGGAATACTTCTTTGACTGATTTGTCAAATGACTTGTTAGACTGCCAATTTCAAGTGGGATCTAAAGCAATAGAAGGCTCTGAAGCTGATTCAGGCTGTGGTACAGGGACTCTACTAATTGGATCATCTAAGTTGGCAGAACCCATGGTGCTGGAGGTATCCATGGTAGATAATGGCACCACATGGAGCCTCTGGCAAGCGCCACTAGAAGAATTGCAATGCAATGTTTCTAGAGCCAGGAGCTGCTGGGCAAGCTGCTGGGCTTGCATAGAGACTGAGTGTTTAACCATAGGCCATGATATGACTAGAGCTAAGTATTGCCAGGCACAAAAAGTCATGATGTCGGATAGATACAACAGCAAATTTGGCATTAGAAAACAAAAATAAATTTCAGAAACAGATGGCCCAGATCCTCATATCATCTGTTTTATTGATGTCTCTCCCTCAGTTCACGCCTATGGCCACCGTCTTGAAACATCTGTAGCAAGACAGGAGTGGATCTGAGCAGTGCAGGAGGTGAATGTACTCTGCCAAGTTTCTACTCATAACCATTTATCTTACCATTTCAGTTTACTCTGACTAGAACGTAAACCACCAGTATTTTTATTTCTTTGGGGACTTTTTCTGGACTCGAGCTCAGCTGGTCTATAAATGCAACAGGATGGAAATGCCAGAAAATGAACACTCTCTCTCCTCCACAACGACACCCCATAGCCCCAAGATAAATACTGATAGGAGTTGGTACACAAATACCCCAGCTCACTCTCCTTTAGGGTGAGAAAATCCAAGGTGTGTTGGAGCCCAATGTTTCTCCAATG